TAAAACTGAATTGTGTTCAGACTGAGAGTAAAATTCAATTCTGGCCCACATTTCGGTTGTGTTTACGTCACACAGCTAATGTCCAAAACGTTCATTTTTCTGTGTTTTTAGGTTTTGTAAAATTTAAAGCTTCTAGATAAACATGAAAAGAAAATCATTTAGTATTAATTTATTGATATTTATTTATTTTCTGTGTCCTTTCAATGAATTATTGTCCTTTCGTGATGATGCACATGAATAAATGTGCAGCATGTTCATAAATAGTTTAAATTCTGATAAAGAGTTCAGTATGTTTACAAGAAATCGTTGATTGATCACAAAGCACAGGGTGACATCACCACAGGCTACAGAGGGAGGAGCTGCAAAGATCTGACCCGGTCACGTCCACAGCTGAGAGGCTCACGGGACCAAGTTTCAGGGCCAAAGATAATAAATAAATCATGGAGAATCATCGTTGTGTGGCTGATGGTGGATCCTCATCTCTGTTTTTTTTCATGATGCATCAGAGTTTTGAACATTTCACAGTTGCAAAGCTTCCAACGCAACACGCCAACAACCAGCAGGTCTGCTTCGTTTCTCCAGAGCTCAGTCCTCCCATTCTCTGGGCTCATGTTGGGATTATTTTGGTTAAATTTAAAAAAGTAAAAAAACAACAACAACAACTTAAAAAAATAATAATAATAATAATAACAACAACATATTCACGGGTTCAGGCACAGAGAGCACGTAAGCTCGACACAGAGTCACCACGCAGCCGTCACGGTCACCATCAGTAAGCAGACATCCCCACACCGTTAGTTCCACAAAAACAAAACGTGCGTCCCGGGATCTGCAGGAGAACCCCCCCCCCCGAGCTCGGCTTCACGGTTGATCCACGGTCACGCCAGCAGCAGCCAATGGAAAACTGCATTTCCCGTTCAAGGTGGTGATGTCATCACCTGGAGCCTGACTGAGATCATTTAAAATCTCGATGCAAACGTCTCACATTTTACTGCCTCATTTAGAGTTTAGTTGAGTTTGTATGCATTTTAAAAGGGTCCGTTGGTTCTTTGTAGATAAATAAATACTGTGGTGCATTAGTGATGCTCATATTTAAATATTCAAATAAAGATGTTTATAAAAAGCCTCTTTGGTGTTACTTTAGAGAGTCGATGATGAAAACAATTTAAACATTTAAATGGAATAATTTACTCTGAGTGGTTTTCTTACATTTTTAATTTGAATCCAAAGATTTTTTGGTTTTTTTCCAAAGAAAAGAAAAAAGATCTCAGACTTTTATTGAAATGAATGCGCGCTGATACGACACCCACAGTGCTGTGCAGAAAAATGAACTTCTAACCAAAGGATTTTTGGACTAATAGAGGCGTTTGTAGTATCCGTAAGACACGTGTCTTGTTGATTTGTTGTGCACGTATCATTTAAAACACAAACTCAATCATATGACGCGAGATTTCAAAGCCAGATTTCTGAAAGCGCCGCCAGCTGTTGTCCTTCGTCACGTCCGACGCGCTGCACTAGTTTGTCGGCGCATCAGAGCTGATCTGACAACTTTTTAAGCAGTCTCTGGACCATCTGTGAGTGTGCGATACCACGATCAGCCACGCCAGACTGAAAAGGCATCGCTCGACATCCTCGACTAATCCAGCAGAAAGCAGCAGTGAAGATAAAGCAGGCAGAAGACTGATGTTCTCACCGGAAACTGGCCTCGTATTCTGTAAATGTGAGGCCCGCAGACTGACACGAGTTCACTGCGCTGCTGTCACATCGCACAATAAAGCGGCTTTTAAAGAGCTCAATAAAAGCTATTTGTAAAGACAAAAATAGACAGTTACTTCTGCTGACAGCAAAGAAATGGCTGCAAACCGCTGCGAAGCGCGCCTGGAGAAAAGCCCACAACAGCAGGCTGTCAGCGCTCAGCATCGGTCACACTATTCAACGTTTTATCCTGAAAAATCCTTAATAATATTTAGATTCATGTAATATTTTTACCCATGCCCATGTTTGTTACGGGTCTGTTATTGTAACAGCCTGATGGGTCAGAGGTGATGCAGGATCAGTCTGCTAGTTTGCATCAATTTCCAGAAAAGAAACCTGAAGTCAGATTTACATTTTGTAATTTTTTTTCTTGGAGTCCAAAAGTTCCCAAAAGTATTTTTATTATCCTACATCAGAAAACTAAGCCACAGGGTTTTGGGGAATGCCGGAGCTGCAGATGGGCCTCTGAACGCCCGCGAACAAACTCAAAACTAAACGAAACAAAAGAGAATCCAAATATGAGGAACACCGATGAGACGTGTGCGGGATGAAAACGCCAGAGTCTCAGAAAGAAAAGTATATCTTTACTTGCCTGCGTCTTACTGCGTATGTTGACACAGTAACTTTGTTTCGATTTTGAACAATACAACATAAATACATCAGGCAGTCACTCGAATTCCAGTGAAACAGCACGCAGCCTGCTTCTTATCGTTTCTACCTACAACTCACGGCCGTAGCTGAGAGAATCGGACTGAGCAGTAAATCAGCAGCTGAGAGGTGAGCCAAACATGTCAGCGCTGTGGATAAAACATTAGGAGATCTCTCATAAAAAAGTTAAACCATCTACATTTTTCAGAAGTAGGATCTAAAGCCAAGCAAGCTGGTGTTCCTACGGAGGGCTTCCCAACCAATGAAACGTACCGCAGCACCTCAACAGTCTCATCCGAGGCCCAGTGAACAAAAACCAGCCCGTATGAAGGTGAAGGTCACCGTGCTTTGAAAAAGCCTGATCGTTGCTAGGCTAGCAGGTGCTTTCATCCTGTCTTTTAATCAAGTCTTTGAGAGCTAATCAGCACTGGGATGGTTAATGGGCCCAGTTTATCCTGCAGGGGTTTGTGAAGGTCGTGGACTGGGTTCAGTCACAAGAGCAGAGACAACAGTGTTTGTCTGCAAACACTGAGCGTCACATTAATAAACTGCTTGGTCAGTTTTTGCCAAGCTTTGTTGTGTTTCCTTTTAATATTTCTGTGTAACTCAAACTGTTTGAATCTGCTTGGACTGTCGGTTTGTTGACTCTGAACATTTGAAGCAGTTTCCCAAAACATTTTTTTTCTTTAAAAAGGGAGAAAATGTTGCAGCTTCTCAAACGGTAACTTTTATTTATTTATTTTTAACCATCTGGACTGTTTGGGGGAATCTGTTCCACAGTTTTAGAAATATAATGAATATTATTGCTTTATACCTTGACTGTGACCTGCTTCTAAAGTGCTGAGGGGAAAAACATGATCACTTCTCCCTCCTGTGAAGGCGGGAGAGCAGACACTGCAAAAGGTGAATAATCACAGATCGAGCCCACAGATGCTGCCTCCTGTAGAGATGGATATTTGCATATTTCCCACTGAAACACATCCCGGATCACTCTGACTCTTTCTGCGTGAGCTTACTTTCAGCTGAGGATTATAGCTCTCCAGTGAGGACACAACGAGATCAGACCATAGCAATTACTGAGCCACAGGCCCCCATAATGACACTAACACCCACACACTTCTGCACACACACAGAAGCAGAAGGTAGGATGTGGTTTGAGCGTCTTGTCTCCAAACAAGGCTGCTGATGTAACAACCGAACATCTGTGAGCCTTGGAGCAGAAGCAGCCATATGCCACCCAAAATTCTGGAGGAGATGGTGGGGGTGTAAGTGGGGGTGTAAGTGCTGGTGTAAGTGTCTTCTATTAGAGGGGTCGATATGAGAGTGGGGTCAGTGGAGCCTCCGGGGGCCCACCTCAGATTACTCCGGTGAAGAGCGGCCAATCATTTCTACTCAAATCACAGGCAAAAAGTCCTGTATGAGCGCGACCCCGTCACCTCTGCAGGCGTGCACGGCGGCACGCGGACTGTCCAGCAGTGAGTGAAGTAAACACGGGGGGGGGGGCGGATCCAGCGATGATCGTTCCCAACAAACGGCTCGGATCCAAAGAGCCACCCAGCGCGCGCAAGCAGTGTCTCTCTCTCCCCCTCTCTCTCTCTCTCTCTCACACACACACACACACACCGCTCAGTTCTGTGCAAGTTAAAGTCAAACAGCCCGAGCACAACACCAAAGCTCCCACCGGTAACCCACTTCACGCGTTGCGCGTCCACACGAGAGCCCGGCGCTGTCTCGCGTGCGCGTGGCTCAGCAGCACGAAAACATTTTAAAGAAACGCTCGAAGCGAAACAAGATGAGGAAGGAAGGAAAGATTTCTCTTACCGTGCAAACGAGGAGGAAACGAAGGAGAAATTATAAATCCTTAGTTTGTGCCCGCATTGTCGGACGGAGGAGGAGACGAGGAGGAGGAGCGGGCTGCTGCTGCTGTGAGGAATAATCCGAATGTCAGTGACAATAAACCGGAGAGCAGAGGAAGAGGAGGAGGGGGCGCTACCACGTCCAATTAGAAACAGTGGGATTGATTGTTGCAGGAAATCAGGCAGTTAGTGTTCAGAGCAGTTCCACCCAGTCAGGATGGAAGTGAGTCGCTGAAGACTAAACACTGCCCCCTTTACATGTGATTCATAGAAATAAGGAGATGAGAAGCTAACCGTGAAGATGATCCCAGTGACCAAAGCCGGCCAGAGTTTTCATTCAGGCTCGCGTATGACGCACAGACTTCCTCCACTGTGCTGCTGAAGTCCACTCTGTGATGTGTGGAGCTGAGATTAGTGGGGCTGATTTCCATATTCAAAGCTGCTACACTCAGCATCTGCCTCCAGCTGCTGCCATCTAGCGTCGGTATAAGGTCATTAAACCGGGAGGAGTTACTGCTCTGGGCCCTAGCAGTGAATTCACAGGACATTTAATGCCAGCTACATTTACTGCGACCCTACTGTAAAGAAAATATACACAAACTCTACAATAACTTTACAATAATTGCTTGCAACAGACTGTCGACCTGTCCCGGATGTAGCCTGCACCTCGACCTATGGTAGCGGGGATAGGCTCCACCCCCCCGCAGCCCTCATAAGGATAAGCGGAAGAGAACGGATGGATGGATGCTGTAAAATCCAGTTATAGCAACGTTTTGTAAATGCCGTTAATAGTTTTGTTAATTTCAGTAAAGTTACTGCAAACACTTTTTCCAACAAATGACTGGCATCCACGATGATCCATCCACGGTGCCTCTGTGTTCTCCCTGCCTGCATGGGTTGCGTGGCACACTGGCTTCATAGATGTGACGTCTCGGATACACAAGTAACAAGTAAACCTAATTTTAAAGTTTTTTTCCTTTGTTTTTTAATTCATGCAGTTTTTTATGTCTCATTCATTACTGATTATGGCTCCTGAACCTTTTATTTAGACGAGGGCTTCAAAATAACTGCCTGGAGATGTTTCAGTTATGCAGACAAATTGCAAGACGACTTTTTGACTTCTTTAAAGACCTGCAAACAGCACGTTTCCAACAACTAGTAGAAGAAGCATTGTGCTAGATACTGTTATTATTCAAAGAGCGTGAAAGTGTGCATTACAAACCACATCTAAAAGGTGTGTCACACGTGATGGTCACGTGTGAAGCCTGTGGGTTTGGAGTTATGTGCACATTAAGGTCAGTGCACCAGAACAGGATCAAGAAAGGACCAAAATATAAATCTGATGACTTTTAAAATGGGTTTTTTGTCAAATCAACATCCGAGTGAATCCCAGACAGACAGTGCTCCGTGTGAAATATGAGTCAGTCAAAGTGGAATATTAAGTAAAATAATATTTTTTATTTAAAAACAAAAAAGATTAAAATGCTGCTCAAACTAAATGTGCAGGTGAAAGCAGCCCCTCGCTGTCACATCGGCCCACAGGACTGGTTTTCTTTCTTAGCTGCTGTAATGACAGCGCTAGTTTCCTAAGTGGTGCAGTTCCTCCTCTTATCTCTATTTGAGAAACGGGTGCAGAGATGAACCGTGCACATAACCAGAAGCTCTGCATGCAGTCGCACTAACTTCAGGGTCTGAAAGCAAATGAGAAACTTTATTAAAACCACCAGAATATCAAACCAATTCCAAGTGGAAGCCCCGCCCAGCCAGCGAATTCAGACCCAGACCCTTCATGCTGTGAGACAACAGGGCTGACCACTGGAACACAATGTCGCTAGTTTAATTTCCATCCATCCGTTCGCTTCCGCTTATCCTTTTCAGGGTCGCGGGGGCGCTGGAGCCTATCCCAGCTGTCATAGGGCGAGACTAGTTTAATTTGTTAAATCATTCTATGAAGCATCTTTATGAAATAATGGGCCCATTAGAGTCAGAGATGGGGATGAACTGGAGGATGTTCACTGGCATCACAAATGATTGTCTGATGATTCCTGTGTTCATGATGTCAGAGAGCTGAAGTGGCAGCTTGTGGTAAAGCGTCGTTTACATACTTCTGTGTACATGACAGGTTATTACTGTATGTCTGAATTACAGAGCAGCTCTAAGAGGAAGAATAAAGAGCTTGAGCTCCACAGAGCGTCTGATGGAGGTCACAGATACAGGAACCCACCCACCAACGCACTTAGTCCTGTGACAACAAACCATAAAATCTTCAAACAGGGCCGAGAGATGAGCGGCCACCTCCTGAACCCATAACTGATGTTGGAAATTGTCTCATATAAATGTCTTCTTCAAGGGCTTTCAGCAGAACGACTGCATGTCATCAAAGTCTGCACAATCCAACCATACGTTCGAGTCCGCAGCTGAACGGGAATCAGTCCTTCGTCTCTGAGTTTTATTACCCTGTCATCATCTGTCCTTGAAGCCCCCTCCTCCATCTGACCTTATTTCATATTTTCTGAGATCGTCTATCATTCAGCTCCTGTCGGTCACAATTGAGCCTCACAGTAACCACAGTAACCAAACGCTCGGTGTCAGTGTTTGGAATGAGCGGTGATTCATTTATTTAACTCTCCATAACACAACAAGGCTTTTATATTTTGATTAAAAAGAAGTCTTTTATATTTGGATCGTGAATGATAACACGATCAGGTAACGTTTCATCAGCAGCTTTTCTTTTCTGAGCTGATGGATCTCTCCAACTCTTTTCCAGCTATATCTTTCTAAGTTTGGGCTCTACTAGAGCAGCTTTGCATTATTCATATTGGGCAATAATCCTTTAATATCTTATCCAAGCCATGCTGTAGCCCTCAGCTCATCTTCTGTCTGAAAATAGCTATTTTGGCTCCTCCCCTTTTGAGGCTTCTGTGCCTGAGGTGACCGTGGTAAGGCCATCGCCTCTCTATGACATTATATAAAGCCAAGAACAGGCTGAAACCTGAGCGGAGGATGAGACAGGAAATGAGGAATAAGTCCTGTTTGTCACACAAATACAGGAACACTTAAGAGCACACACAGAGTTAGTGCGCACTGATCGTCCCTGCCTCCACCCAGTCAGCACTCTGACCGAGTGTGTGCGGCTAGTGTTGAAGCGGCTATATCAGGAGCCCTCGAGTGTGTGTGTGTGTGTGTGTGTTACACCTCACAGCTCACATATGAAGAGCAAAACACAGAAACAAAGGTGGGTGTACTCCACCTCTCCACCCGTGGCGTCAGGTGGGCTCCAGCCACGTTTTCTTGCTGAACTAAATCATAATAAAAAATTTTGTTGGTTTTTCAAAGATCATTTAGATTTATTTTACAGGCAGCTGTTCTGATGCAGAGCCAAGTGTATTTACACAAGCTCGACTCCCAAAAACTGCCAAACACAGGTGGTTTAAAAAAAGCTGTTTGGAAAGGAAAGACTGCCCTCTACAGGGAGAAGCTGGCACTGCGGCGTGAAAACCTCTCTGGGCTGAACTGTGGATCACCTTCACTGCTTTGACTCCATGCAGGAGTCTCCCACACCTGCGTGCATGGATGCACACACTCTGAGCTCCCTGCAGCTTCAACTACAAATGTTTTTATTCTGACTAAAAGGACATATTTCCAGTCACCAGCTTCTAAAGAAGCCCCACACTTTTACACATCCCATATTTTCTTCTAAATCTTCAGAATCAGAATCAGAATCAGAATGGGGTTTATTGC